GAGAGAATCATTTTTCCATGTGACGGTTTCCTGAATGTTGCCCACTAACCTGAAAAAGATGGACAGGAACTCTTTAGTTGAAATGGACCRTCTGCATTTGGTGTTCTGGCTGGAGATATCAGCACCGATGTGGATCAGCAGCTCATTAAACTGACMGCGGTGTTAAAATGGGCTCAGGACAAAAAAATAATTTGTCAGCTCACAGCTCCTGGAGTGGTGAAACTAACCAAACAGACYGCCTATAAATTATCTGGTGAATTAATTATCTGGTGTGCGCAACGTTTGCTTGCTCTTTAGTAAATAAAGCAAAACCATTTTCTTTATTTTATCTCTATTTCATTTTCCACAGACAGACCGGAAAAAAAACAAGACGCTCCTCCCTCTTCAGACGCATGTCTAGTCTGTCCCGGTCTGAACGTAGCGCATCCAACCTGAGGCGTTGGGCATGTTTTTGCTGCTCAAACCGTGTTCAATGTGAACGTAGCATAAGAATCTGGGTTCCCACAGGTCCTTGAAATYCTTGAAAGCTTGTGAATTTGGAAAAAATGATTTCAAGGCCCTGGAAAGTTTGTGAAAACAGCCAAAAATTACACTTGTCCTTGAAAGTCCTTGTGTGTTTTTTGGGGATTGAAGTTCTGTCTTCACACAGTTGATTTTCATTATCTGTAAAATAAATAAATAAAACAAATAAATAAAATTAAAAAAGCATACATTTGTTGCGGTGGAAAACTCAGGATTACAGTAAACTGACTTGGCTTTCAACAAATAATGTGAGCCATGGTCATAGTTTTACCCAATCAGAGCAGAGTAGGGCGAGTCTTTCTGAGCCCAGGTGAGAGCACCACAGCTCCTCCTGTCCTCACTGAGCATCTGGACGTTTTCATATCCCCTCCTCCCAAACTGAGCTGCTGAACCTCCCAGGACATAATTACATCTCCGTGTATTATGGATATGAATGTAGGGTATACATTTAATCCACTTTCTTTCATTGATTCCCAGTTTTTCATTGAATGTACATGATATTAAAACAAAAGTTACTTATGTAACTACGGTTCTATGAATCCTGAATGACCGCCAGAGGGCGGTGCTAAAAGCACTGAATGTTCCCTTCGCGCATGCACCGTTCGAGCTGTAATACCAACAGAGTCACACCTTTGACCAATCGGTACAAGAACATGTTTTTAAAAGTAGTTTTAAGAATATTGAACCATTGATTATAAATGAAAATATTTGGCTTGTCTTTTAAAAAAAAAAAAACAGTTTTGTTCTTTAACTGCCTAACTAGTTTAAATACAAAGACAACCAATGTTTGGTTGGTTGTATTGCCACCAATTGCTTCTAAACAGAGTCAGATCACACTTACTAGATTCTTCTTTCATCCAGTTCTTTGGAGGCCAGTTCTGAAATAACTTTGTCTTTGGAATATRTTGAAAATAATAAATAAAACAACGAACATCTGAATTGCTGATTTTAGTTCAGTCAGAGTAACTGTGTGACCCTGTTGATTTCAAGCATACCAGAAGGTTCAACATGGATCCAATGGATCATTAAAAAAATTAAAATAAAAATAGCGGTAAAAAGGAAAACTAGGGATTAAATGGACTGGCAAGAAATTGCTAACAGACTATATACATCTTTTAAATTGCAACTGAGTAAGTCAAATAAAATGTGAATATCTGCAGACTGCCTAATAAAACCTCTGGATCATTAAATATTTAAATTTACAACGTGTTGTGAGACCATTTTAAGCTTTGGTGGTCTGAGACTCCTCATGTAGGACTGAGTCTCATTATTCTGAATGACTATAAACAAGAGGGACTGAGGATCATCTGGACCCATTAAGTTAATGGAAAAGTAATCTGGATTAACTCAACAAATAAAACATTATGATTAAATTCACACTTGCCCATAATTACAGTGATAATGACCCGGTTTCTTTGTCTTCATTCTGTCATGCAGATGTGATCATTAGTGAGAAAGGAGGAGTGATACCACATGTTTGTGCTCGGATAATAATCTCGTGCATACACAAATGTTTCTAAATCAGCACTTTTACCCTGCAGTTCCTTTCAAGTTGCCTGTTTGATGAATAAGTTGCCGTGTTGGTTAGGAATCAGATGCATGCATCCAAAAATAGTCACAGAAGCAATAGTGAAACTGTTCTCATGATATGATAATGCATCTGTAGTGCAACATTTGTTATTTGTAGTGCAGAATTTGTTTGCGGTCTCATGCTGGTGGAATTTCTCTGTTCTGTGAAACCAGTGGTGAGCACAGTTAACCCTAAATGTCAGCTTCACTAACCTCTAAACCAATACACAAATTACTTAGCTCAGCTAATAAGACGCTACATAGACAGGAAAGAATGCTGGAAAAACATTTTCTGACTTTTTACATCAGTTTTGATATTAGAATTTATGTTAAAGTCTGTTTTTGACTTTAAACTGAAATTATGAGTGAGATGGTCTGGTATAAGAGTAGACTGAACGTGGTAATGAATACCCATAACAGGAAGAAGTTACAGTTTTACACAGAGCATTGGTGGCTTTACTTTGCATTGCTTTCCTCTCAAAGCACAGCTTAGTTTAGCATGTCACTGCTACATGTAAAGTCAGTATGTTTTTGTTTATTTAGATCAGGGGTGGGCAGTCCTGGTCCTCGAGAGCTGCAGCCCTGCATGTTTTACTTTTATCCCTGCTCCAACAGCTGATTCAGTTATTGAATTACCTCTTCAAGTTCTGCAGAAGCCCGATAATCACCCATTCATTCAAATCAGGTGATCTGGAGCAGAGAAACAAGTAAAACATGTCGAGCTCGGCCCTCAATGCCAGCCTCTGATTTAGATCATGCTGTGATGAATTCAAAGCTTATTAGCACTTTAGAAAATGATTAAATTCAATTCAGTTTGTTTATATAGCGTCAAGTCACAACAAACATTGTCTCGGAGCACTGCACACAAAAACAATTAATCTAATAATAAATCTAAAGAAGCCAGCAAAAATTTATTTTGCATTATATTAGCAGTTCTGCTATTAGCAGGTTAGCGGAATCGTGCCCACCACTGTGTGAAATTAACAAGGTGTTACAGAAGAAGACAAGCATCCAGTAAATCTTCAGTTACTGTGTTTTTGTTCTCTAACATGTTTAAAACACTTGTCTGAGATAAACTTGCCATAATGAAACTGCTCTTTTTGAAGGGAGTGTAAGATACTGACAAGAGGGACAGATGGGTTTAAAGTTGGGGTACATCAGGGATCAGGTCTGGGCCGCCTTGTTTGCATAGGTGATGGACCAGTTTGGCTGGTGAAATCAGGCAGGAATCCCCATGAACTATGATGTTTGCAGCCGACATCTGTAGCCAGCAGGTGGAAGAGAGCCTAAAGAGGTGGAGGTATGGTCTGGAGAGAAGAAGAGTGAAAATCACAAGTAGTAAGACAGAATCTATGTGAATGAGAGGGTAACAGGTGGATCAGTGAAGCTGCATCCATCTAAGCAACGACCAGACAGGTGCAGGAGAGTGCAGGCAGGGTGGAGTGAGTGAATGGGATGATTTGTGCTAGAGGGACAGTAAAAGTGAAAAGGTTGTTTAGAGACAGTGGTGCTAATTAAAGGACAGGAGGAGCTGAAGGCAGCAGAGATGAAAATGTGATTTTCATTTGGACTAATCGGATTTTAAATGAGCGTACGAGAAGAACAGCTCAGGTTGAGCAGTTTGGAAACAAAGTTAAGAGTCGAGGCTGAGAGGGTTTGAATGTGCAGCCAAGGGATAGTGGACAAAGAATGCTGAATATCAAGCTGCAAAGGAGGAAGACCACAAAGAAGTTTCACTGATTGAGTGATTGAGGTAGTTCTGGGTGGTATGACCAAAATTTAATATCACAGTATTTATAACAGTAATAATACAGTAGTAGTATTTTTGATGTTTTTTTTTCTTTTCATGACCCTGTGTGATGGGCGCGTCTTCAGCGGGTGTTTAACTCGAGTCCTGAAGCTCTTCAAAGTTTTGAATGTGGAGATTTTAGTTTGAAACGGCTGAGATGTTGGAACAAATTGCTCTTGTTGCTGCCTGTGACGACTTTAACTCAAGAAGTTTGCAGAAAACCGYTGTTTGATTAGCATCTGAGCTTTTAGAGCTAAAGTACTTCAACATAAAAGAAATTTTCCCCTTTTTAGCCACAAGGTCTTGAGCAGCACCTTCAACTGTCTGCCACAGCTTCTTTTTCCAAAGTCTGTGTCCATCCCTACAACACTCAACACAGTTTTCTGTTCACTGCATGTGCGGAGCAGAAAAACGTCCCCTATGAAACAGTTTATTGGCGGTATGATGTTCCAAATGTTGCTCAAGCTGTTTAAGCCATCGTGCATGCATACATAAAATTCATATAACAAAAATAAAAGCCTGTTTTTGGTATGAACTGGTATACTTCTCAGCTCTAGGTGGAGAATATCCAGAGGGGTTGGTGTGACAGAGGAGGATGTCAGGATAGGGTGGGATTGAGGTAGATGATCCACTGTGGTGACCCCAGGGAGCAGCTGAAAGAAAGAAGAGTAAGACGGATGCCTTTCATGTTCAGGAAAAGCACAGCGTGGTTACATTGTGGTTTCCCGTCAGGCCAGCGGCAGATTGATTTAAGACCCCTGTGTTTTTAGACCCGCTGGTTGCTCGGCCCGCGGTGTCAGTAGAACCAAAGCAATTTTTCTGTTCCCATTAACWGACACCTGATACAGTCTTTGTGTCACAGCGAGAGGCAAGCAATCACTGCCAGATTCATTAAAGCCTAATACAAATTTGCTGTCATTAATTTCTCAGAAGACAGTGCAATTAATCATTCTCACCCAGTTAGTCAATTAGGCCTGTTGTATCGTCCCYGGCCTAAAATAACAGTGGTGTCTTTGAGTAGCATCCATTTATCTGTGGTGAACGGTAACACAAGAAAACTAGCTGTTGTTTTGTGTACAGACCCTGCCTTGTATTAATGAAAACTACTCTTTATTTACAGACAAATTACAATTGAGGAAGGGGAACAGAGGGCTAAAGAACTGAGTGTCATGTTCATCGAGACCAGCGCCAAAACTGGTTATAACGTCAAACAGGTARGTTTGCTGCTGGGGTGTAAAGTCTAGTCAAATCCAAGGTGTAAGAGTGGCAGGTGCAGTTATAATAAGTAAATACAGTATATTCACACATTAACACTAATAGATGAGCAATTATTTGCCTCATTAATATAACTGGTAATGTTTATTTGATCCTAATTACCGTTGAAGGATGTAAGGCGGTTTAAAAGCACTCAGTGGACACCTTTGTTTATATCCAGTGAAGCGGCTCTGCATACATCCTTGAGGTCTAATTAGTCTTGCGCAGCCAGACTCCACAGTGATCCCCACAGTGCTGTGTCAGCAGTGAGAACAGTCCAGCTGTGCAAACTTACCACAGCTTGCAGAAGTATTCACCCCMCTGGTATTCTCTCTGTGTCGCCGTTCTACAACCAAGAATTTAAATGAATTTGATTCTAAGAAATGAACTAAAAAATACTCCACATTAATTTAAGTCCATTGGGGGTGGGTAAAATCTTGTTTTCAGAAAATAGTGTTTGTAGTCCCAAACAAAGTCAATACTTTKTAGAGATAACTTTTACAGCAACAAGTCTGATTAGATTGCCACATCCAACCTCTGGAATGTTTGGCAGTTCTTCGTGGCGCTGCTTGTTTACAGCAGTTTGTAATTCAGACCAGAGATTCTCAGATGGATTGAGGACTGAACTTTAAYTGTGGCATTCAAGACTATTTGACAGTTTTTTTTAAACCACTGAAGTGGTAGCCTGGTAAAAACCAGACMYTCGTCCTTCACTTTGCTTTGWACGAGGGTCTGGACTCTCTGCTACAGAGAAGTGATTCTTGCKGSAGGCGTGGCTTCTGCTAACGTTTAAAATGATTGGATYGGTTGGCCGCGACGTATGTGTGCACTTGCTCCACTGTGATGGAGGCTAAGCTAAGAAGCTAAAYGGAAATTGCGTGMGCTGTAAACAACCCTAMTGAGAGGAGAAAARTACYGAGCCGACTGTAAATGAGAGCTGCTGCTTTGTCAGACAGATTTAATTTAATTTGGAAGCCTTATCAACACGGACTGGCTTCATTCACTTCCTCCACTGCCGTATGCTAAAATAACTAGCAGACACTGTGTAGAAAATCAACATCGTTCAAAACTATGCCTTCTATTTACTGATTGGCCCAGGTAAAATAAACTWCAAGCCAGAAAATTGATGTTCTGTTCTCTGATTGGTTCGGATAAAAATCTGCCAGTGAAATCGTTGTGCATGGGAGAAATGCCAGACGGAGTAGAGAAGGGAAACTAGAATTGAGCGGAACTGCGTAGGAAGGCAAGGGCCAGTCTACTGAAGTGGTGCTTCAGCAGGATGTTTCAGGTCATTATACAGGTAAGAGGTCAACCTCTGTCCCTTATTGGAAGACTCYAACAAATGACTTCCGTCCTTCCTTCAATTTGGGCCAGTTTCTTAGTCCCTGATGATCGGAASACAACCCCACATCATGATACTGCCACCACCGTGCTTCACTGTATGTTCTCAGTTTGTTCCTGATGGTRTTGTCCTCGATGGCCAAAATGTACAATTTTAGTCTCCTTTCACTACAGCTCCTACTTGATTGAGAAAGAAATTCCACTAAGTCCAGCTATGTGCTGCTTAATYCCATCCTTGCAGAAGAGCTGCCCTGTACTATCTGGGTTATCTTTGGTTTTTTTATGGCTTCTTTGAGTAATGTCCTCCTCACTCAGTCTGTGAGTTTTGGTGGACGACCCTTAGCTGTGGTGGTATCATATTTTAATTTTCTAATAATGGTTTTAATGGTGCTCTGTGGGATCTTCATGGTTTAGGATGTTTTTTTAATAACCCAACCCTGAACTGACCTTCTCCACAACTTTGTCTCTGAGCTACATAGAGAGTTCCTTCATGCTAGGGCTGGGCGATAAAACAAGAACGGTATGTGTGACCCATCACAGTAAACTGAGGATGTGGTCAAAATGACCTCAGTACATTTTCAGATTCAGATTTTGACACCTGGATCATGCTGATATCATGAGAAGTCCAGATATATGACTCGTTTTGTCTTCCTAATCAGGAGAACCCATTGATATTTGGACTGAATCCTAATTTTATGTTATGAAGAATTTTTAAAATGTAAACCTTAAATAAATTTTAGATATTAGYATTTACAAGCAAATAAACAAATAAATTATTATTGATATCGACTGATATAAAATGCTTACGTTTTTAGGCCATACCAGCCCTACRTCATACTGTCTCTTGCTTGGCGATGGCTCTTATCAGTCAACTAACGATCAGTTGATAAGCGGCCATTTTCTTAAAAACCTGACATTTCTCTTGAATCAAGTGTCTTTCTATGACATGAAGGACTCATTTTTTACACACTAAATTAAAAAAACGGTACAGTATTATATTTTATAAAATGTATTGTGCCAGCTGTGTTGAACACTGACTGAATAAACAGAAAGTTGTGGATTTCTCTCACATTATTAAACTTGGACATATTTATAAAATATAACAAAACAGGAGTCTATTMGGTTGCTAGTTAGGAAAACAAAAAGAAAGAATAGTTATATAAAACACTTAATCCACTCTGAACAGAGAAATGTAAAACTATCATTCAAACACGGGGTAACATTTTAACCTAAAGATTTACTCAAAAACAAACTAGAAACATAATAAAATATCCCTAAGATGGGTGAGATACAAATGAGTACTGGAAACTGTACATTTGTTTTCATTCCCTGTGGTTCTGGGCTGGACTGCTCACCATGATTTGACGTCAGCTATATTCATTTGTTTGGTTCACTGGCCGAGTTACGTCACACAGATTAACTTCTTGTTAATTGTTTGTAGTGACTGTAACTGTATTTGTTTTTGTTCTTTCACACGGAGTTAAACTCGACAAGAAGAAGCTAACGTTAGCTACAGTTAGCTTGCAGTTCTCTGTCGCCCTGCTTTATTGTCTTTAGCGTCATACTGCTGGATAATCTGGTACAGCTTTCGGTGCTTTTCCTTCAAGTTTGGTGTAGTCCATTATCATTGTTGTGTCGCAAACAGGGATGGGCAGTAACGCGTTAGAAGTAACGCGTTACT